GGGCTGTCCCTAACACGTATCCTGATATGTTAGCGATGCTCCACACACACACACACACACACACACACTGTAACGCTGCGTCATCCAGTTTTCAAACTTAAATCGTTCGTGAAGCGAAGAGTTCGATGGACAGTGGATTCATCGGTTCCTGGACGACGACTTATTCAAACTTTTTCTACATTTTTTCTGTACACGTTCAAACACGAAACCAATGAAAATCATTAGCTCAAACAACAAAGATAAAGAATAAAGTTAGTTAATCATTTTAACTTTTTTGAGGAGTTTTTGTTTTGTTAAATTAGATTTGACTAAATATGAAATGTCAGGATGGTACTGGTCCGGCCCGCTGACATCTAATTAAGTTGTTCGCGTCCCTTTTTTTTTTTTTTTTTTTTTTACACAAATATTTCCAACCTGCCAGCTCATCATCTGAAAACAGAGATGAGGAAGGAGCTGACATGTCGTGGAGGCTCACTCTGCCAGGTGCCCTCGGGCACACCTGTGTGCAGCGAAATACCTGGAACATTTATTTCCAACTGCTGACAGACACACACACACACACACACACACACACACACACACACACACACACACACCCTGGTGCTGCTCTGAGGTCGATGCCGTCCAACATCACTGGGTTCTGATCTCAGTGGAAAAACCAGTTCAGCCAAATTTCCAGCCTCAACCCCCGGGGCGTGGTCAAACTGTGGTCCGGTAAAAAAATAAACACCTGACACGGGGCCGTCTGATTGGTCGTCAGCGTCAGGTGTGTTTGCACAGTGATGGAGCAGCAGCAGCAGAGTTTACACAGACATTAAACTGCAGGATTTACTGCGAACAGACAAACATTTGTCAGCGGCGTCGGACCGACAACCGGTTCTCACCGGACCAAACGATTCAACATTAGGAAATAATAACGAACGACGTCAAACGAATCTCGAACTTTGAGCTGATTCTTTACCAGTGACTCAGTGTTTAAATCCTTGTATTCACACTGTGACAAATATGAAGAAAATATTGAAATAATTTGCTCTGCCACAAGGGGGCGCACACCCCCCCACTTTGAGAACAACCGACCTAAATAGTTACAACCAGGGCAACCAAAGTGTGACAACCAGGGCAACCAAAGTGTGACAACCAGGGCAACCAAAGTGTGACAACCAGGGCAACCAAAGTGTGACAACCAGGGCAACCAAAGTGTGACAACCAGGGCAACCAAAGTGTGACAACCAGGGCAACCAAAGTGTGACAACCAGGGCAACCAAAGTGTGACAACCAGGGCAACCAAAGTGTGACAACCAGGGCAACCAAAGTGTGACAACCAGGGCAACCAAAGTGTGACAACCAGGGCAACCAAAGTGTGACAACCAGGGCAACCAAAGTGTGACAACCAGGGCAACCAAAGTGTGACAACCAGGGCAACCAAAGTGTGACAACCAGGGCAACCAAAGTGTGACAACCAGGGCAACCAAAGTGTGACAACCAGGGCAACCAAACTGTGACAACCAGGGCAACCAAAGTGTGACAACCAGGGCAACCAAACTGTGACAACCAGGGCAACCAAAGGTCGATGTGGGCACTCCATCCTGCCTCTCAGTCAGAGGTGGCTGCAGTGTATTGTGGGTAACAGAATCCAGCTCGGTGAAATCAGCGTGGTGACGGCGTGATGGCGTGACCCTCCGTTTAACTTCACAAGTCGGAGATACAGCAGCGGAGCAGTGGTCGCTTTACTCCGCTGTCATAAATCCACTGAGCCACAGGCTGGTTCCTGTCATTCTGACGGCAGCTCTGCTTTCATCACAGCCGTATACGCTCGTACAAATGGAGGAGGATTTCCCGCCGGCCGCGGCGTCTTAGCAGCAGAAAAACCCGCTGACACGTTTAGTTTGGGATTTATGACGAGAACACGAAGAGTCCGGGTTCACGATTGATGAGAAACGTTACTGCGAGTGTCTCCAGGTTCACGTTAGTATCACAGAGAACGTGAGGATAAGACCGGCTGAGTTTGTGTTCCTCGTCCTCCACATCTGTCCTCCTCCTCTGTCCTCCTCCTCTGTTCTCCTCTGTCCTCCTCCTCTGTCCTCCTCCTCTGTTCTCCTCTGTCCTCCTCCTCTGTCCTCCTCTGTCCTCCTCCTCTGTCCTCCTCATCTGTCCTCCTCTGTCCTCCTCTGTCCTCCACATCTGTCCTCCTCCTCTGTCCTCCTCCTCCTCTGTCCTCCTCCTCTGTTCTCCTCTGTCCTCCTCCTCTGTCCTCCTCCTCCTCCTCCTCTGTCCCCCTCCTCTTGTCTCCTCCTCTGTCCTCCTCCTCTGTCCTCCTCCTCCTCCTCCTCTGTCCCCCTCCTCTTGTCTCCTCCTCTGTCCTCCTCCTCTGTCCTCGTGTGTTTTTGAAGGGTCGGTGAAAAAAGGTGGTTGACCACATATTGACTCTGTGATTTGTCAACAAACAGTTGCTGACTTTCTGTTTCCTGCTGGTTTCGTCAGTGATGAACAACCTTTTTAAACTGGAAGACGTATTTATATATTTTTTTCATCTATTCGTTTGGCCTGACTGTACATTCACGTCAGTGTTGTGACGACTACAGACCTAAAGACTATCAAAGTCTAACCCTGACCCGCTGACCTTTGACACCACCCTTAAAGGAATGTGAAGACGCTCCCGTCGTAGAGCAGTAACGGTTCTGTCCACAGCAGCGTCTGTCGGTGTCGGTGTCACATCAGTGAGGGTTAAATTCACTGCTTTGACTGTTGTCAACACAAGAAAATAAATATTAATCGGACTTGAGTTTGATGGAATATTTACAGAACAAAAACAAAGTTGCATTTTTGGCAAAAAAACAAAAACAAACCCTAAAACCTGTTAACCTAGTTAAGGGTTGAACACATAACCTAGTTAGACTAACACGCCCTCAGAATTTTGGCTCTTGCCAATTTTTGTTTTTCTTCTGAACTCTTAGATTGGCAGCTGCTTCCCGATTAACTTGTTTTTTGTCATGGTTAGATTGACAGAGAAGTGAGACCTGCTGCGATGTACGGCGAGGAGACGGCAGCTCTGTCCAATGGACAAGAAGTGGGCGGAGACAGGAACAGATCAGAGGAACAGCTGAGGTGGAACAGATCGTAGATCAAGTTAGAGGAGCAGAGTTCATGTGGTCTGAAAGGAGACGTCGGATTTACGTTGGACGAAGGATGTTGGAGATGGAGCTCCCAGGCAGGAGGAGGAGGAGGAGGAGGAGAGGAAGACCATAAAGAAGATTTATGGCTGTAGTGAAGGAGGACATGAAGGTGGATGTTGAGGGACAGCGGGAGACGGAGTCACGAGATTCTCTGTGGTAACGAAAGTTATCAACAGAAGAAAAGTTTGACGTGAGCTCACGACACGCTGCCTTAGAAACCGGCTAACGTGTGTGTTTTCATGTTAACGTGGTGTAAATACCAATGAGTCAGAATGGAAACATCAACGGTTCAGACACCACAACGTCAGCGTTTGACCATAAACACATGTTCTCACTGTTGGCCAACATTTGGACCAAACAGTCGACACCCAAAAGGAACCAAAACTGAAATTGACGAATCTCAGACGTGACTTTAAATATCGCTGAAACGCAAAATATTTGTGTGGAGGAAAAGGTTTTTTTGTTGACCCACGGAATGTTTAAAAGCCATGTTTGGATTTTCACTCTTACTTTTCTAACAGAACCATAGAGGCATTATTAGATCGTCTTGGGTTTCCCCGGAACTTTTATCTCAAGGGCCGCAGGAAGGTCGTAAGGTCAAGAGAGCTCTAATGAAACCCAGGTTAAAGAAAGAGAGGGAAAACGAAGGCGTGACTTAGACAGACTCACGATGTGAGAGAGAGAAATCATCGTTAGATTTAAGGCTGAAATGGAAACATAACCCTGTAAAAAGTTACGATATTATAACATTAAGATTGTTCTAACGGGTTCTAATCCCTGTTTACGATGGATCGTAAAATATAACGCTGTAGTCATGACAACATTTTCTCTTGTCTTTCAGTGTTTCTGGCCTCAAGTCACCATGTCAGCGTCCCTCCTCGTCCTGCTCCTGCTCCTCTCGTCTGGTTTGGTGTCCTCTAGTTGTCCCACAGACTGTACTTGCACGGCCAACTACTTTACTATATTTTGCATTCAACGACACTCCACCACCGTGCCGGTTGCGCCAGTGAGCACCAAAGAACTGTACATTTTCCAGAATGGCATTCAGACTTTGACCGAGGATGACTTCAGCGGCCTGGTGGATCTGGAGCTGCTCGACATGAGTCAGAATGAACTGAGAGAGATTCCAGACTGGGTTTTTGGAAGGCTGTCCAAGCTGAAGAACTTGGACCTGTCCACCAACCACATTACCCATATCTCCAAACACAGTTTCTCAGGCTTGGTCCAGCTGGAGAGGCTGTATCTTCATGCAAACCGAATCCAGAGCATTCATTTGGAAGCGTTCGAGGGTCTGGAAAAGTTACTGGAACTAAAGCTCTACGGAAACCAGCTTTCTTCTCTGCCGTCCCTCCAGTTACCAAAACTGTTGCTTCTAGACCTCAGCAAAAACAACATCCCAACACTGGGTCCAGCGGACCTCCAGGCTCCTCACTTGGAATCCCTCAAGTTGGGTTCTCTTGGACTCACCACTTTGGACGAAGACCTCATAGCTTCCTTTAGGAACCTTCATGATCTCGACATTTCCATGAATCAGTTAACTGAGGTTCCACAAGCTCTGAGGCAGGACTCCCTCAAGGGGTTGATCAAGCTCAACCTGGCAGCCAATCCCTTCGGAGAGCTGAAGACAGAGAACTTCCACAAACTCACTGGACTTCAAGAGCTGGACATCAGTGGACTGAATCTCCAAGGTTTCCCCCAGAATTTCTTTCAGCTGTTTCCCAGGTTAACGCGCCTGACAGCAGCCGAGAACCCGTTTAACTGTCTGTGCCCGTTGGCCTGGTTCCCAGTTTGGCTAAAAGAGAAAAATGCAAATCTTCTGAGGCCCGAGGAAACCAGATGCCACTTTCCTCTCGTTAACGCTGGAAAGATGCTTTCATCACTAGAGCCCAAAGATTTTGGTTGTCCGTCTGTCACCACAGTACTGACCCAATCCCATACTGGAAGTACTCCAACGCCCCAGATGTTTACGACACCTTTGGAAAACCCCCATACAAATGCTATTCTCCCTCCTCCTCCTCCTCCTCCTCCTCCCAGTGAGGTGACAGGATCCACAAACGCAGACGGTTCTCCGTTCTCACCAGAACCTACAGACTCCCCAAGTTCCAACAGCAGAGAAGATGAACCAAGCTTCTGCCCCCCCAATATTTGCCTTAATGGTGGCACTTGCAATTTCGACCCATCAGGTCAACTCAGTTGCCTTTGTCCATCAGGGACGTCTGGGCACTACTGTGAGAACATGGTCGACGTTCCCGAGCCCACAAAACCGTTGACCACAGAGGTGTCAGTGATCGCACACGCGATGCCCGTGGAGCTGGACGCCATCAGCTCCCGTCAGGTGACCTCCACATCTATTTTACTTGACCTGCACCGCTTCATCAACACCCGGCCACACATCAAAGGTATAAGGCTGACGTATCGTAATCTCTCAGGGCCGGACCGGCGCCCTATCATCCTAAGTGTACCGGCGTCCTATCCCGAGTACACCCTGCGTGGTTTGAGACCCAACTGTACGTACTCGGTGTGTGCCAGTCCCCTGGGCGAGCGAGTGAGCACCAGGACGAACAGCTCTGCAGAAACAGGTCCATGCACAGAGGCTCGAACTGAAAGTGTTCCAGCGACATCGGTGGAGTCCAAGGTGGAGACCCAGAGCCAGGTGAGCTACAGTCTGATCCCCGCTCTGGCAGCGCTGGCGATGGTGCTGATGTTGGCCGCGGTTGGTGTGATGCTCATCTGTCTGCGGAGGAGGAGGCAGGCCAAGGCAGGGCTGGAGCTGGAGCTGGGCCCAGCAGACCCGGTGGAGCTCGATGGCATCAAAGCCGGCCTCGAGAACGGTGGCAACGGAACGTTACAGCAAAAACAGCCGGAGATCGAGCGCTGTCACACGTCTCAGCCACCGCCATCGCTTCAACAAAACGGGGGCTTGGACTATGAGGTTCTATTGATGCAAGAACACTGCCCATCAAATAACAATTTAGCTTCACTAAAGCCGTCTTATTTCTGAGACGACGTTCGAGCAGAGACGATTGGAAAGATTTGTTTTTTTTTAAAAGTGCAGGTTTACCTGTGGAACTGTGGAAAGTTGAAGTTCCTCTCGATTTCAAAATCAACAAAGTTGGCACTTAGTTGGGATTTTTATCTGTTTTTTAAAGTTGCTAAAATACTGAGAGCTGATCCGCAGTATATTCTAAACCGCTGTGACCTGAGGCTGGTGAGAACCTGTCCAGAGATTCAATGAAGTCCAACTGAATGGACTGGTCTGAGTCTGAGGGGAAACGACAGTTCCTTTTTGCATTGACTGTCAACTGTATTTGATGCCATGTTTTTTGTTTGTTTTTTTAAAATGTCTTTTTAGTAAAAAGAAATTGAATTGAGTGTAAATCCCGTTGCTGGATTTGGGAGTTGTGTTGCACCATAGTTTTTTGGGAGTGCAGAGATGTCGAAATGCAGGACCAGCGATCCTGGTGCAGAACTTGGTTTGGACCCGTTTCTTTGCTCAGTGGGATTTATTTTTTACAGAGCTTGCACTGAAAAGAAGTATTGGATTTTTCCCAGATGTCTCAGCCAAAAAGACTGATGTTCACAAACAGCAGGAAACGCTGTAGGAAGAACACGACTTTATAAAGATACTGAAGACTCGATGACAACGCAGCTGCCATAAATTCCACATTTTGCAGATTGGGATTTCCATCATCAACAGACCCAGAATAAGTCTTTCCACCGGCCCGGAGCATCTGGCTCCACGGGAGATAAACTTGCTGTGAAATATAAATGGACTGAATAAAGAGCCATTTGGCGTCGATGCATGCCGAGGGAGGAAGGCTGTGTTGTTTTTTCTTTTGTTTTTCTTTTTTTTTTTTTGTAGCTGACATTGTTCTATTTTTGCCTTGTATTTTGTGTTTTGCTGTAAATGTTCGTTCAGTATTGACACTTTTGCTCTTCATGTTTTTTCCCCTTGAAAAAGTCATTGGAGTTTTGACCCGTTGTGTGAAACGTCACTTAGCTAAAAAAAAAAAAATCTTGATCTCCGACTGGTGTCGTTCTAGTAGTTTCTCTGCTAACACCATTAGCATCCAGTAAAAAGTTCAATGAACACAGTCGTTATGAACTGGTCTTCTACAGAACTCGCTGAACGAGTCCCAGTCCCAGTCCCAGTCCCAGTCCCAGTCCCAGTCCCAGTCCCAGATGATTCAGATGATTAGAGAACAATTATCCAGTGACACCATGGATTGGCCGACACCAGTTAGAGCCACGTTTGATGACAATTTGAGTTTTATTAAAACCTTCTATTTATGTTTATTGCTGACACAAACGATCTGTAAAATCCACTGCATAATGTTGATCCCATTTAGAGAAAAACGGAAAAATAAAACAGTGCAGATCTAAGATATGAAAGGCAAAAAAAAAAAAAAACACGACGGCGCTCCACCTTAATGCTGCACCTTAAACCTTCTGGGGAAATCAATATAAGAAAATATGAACAATAACTTTGGAAATGATCGGCCGTTTTGTCGCCGTGAGGACACCGTTTATGCTGCCACTGTGTGGAGAACCTGGTACTGCAGGAACGTCCGTGTTCTGGTTCTTGTTCTAACGGAGTCCCTCCCACGTTCTCTCCGCCGTCCTGTGTTTTTTTGGCCAAACAACCATTATTGTCGTCGGGTGTTTTGCTACTTTACTGCCCACCAGACTGTAAAGTGCCCCCAGTCCTGGGTATTTGTTGACCTTGTCAACGCATTACGTCCACTGGAAGATCATGAAAAAGTGTCCACAGGTTCACAGGAACTGAAGGCCTGACAAACAGTGTCTGTAGAACTGATGTCTGTTTCAGGAACTGAAAAATTAGACGATATGAAATTGAACGCCATCAGTCCGACCAGCGGTTCATGTAAAGGTCAAGAGGTCACATCAGATAACCTTCTCCCCTCCCCCCCCCCCCCCCCCCCCGTCCTCTGACGTCTCCAAACCCTGTCAGTATTCCAGTGTAAACACACGCTCACGTGCACTATCTGCTTCCACTCACACACTCCATGAACTGGACGACACTGTGGGGCAGTGGGCAGAGTGAGGGGCAGGAAATGGTTGACATATTTCTGTACATCGGTTCCGTTCCCTGTCTTGTTGAACTGTTGTTGTTTGTTTTGTCTCCGTGTTTTTGCCAGAAAACAAATGCTGAAAAGAAACCAGTATTAAATGCCTTACTGATAACAAACCTGTGTCTCTGTGGCCACTGTTTTTGTAACATCTTAGTCGGGAACAGTTTTCGTCCCCGTGGATTTTCAGAATGTTGACGTGTCAGGGAGAATGTGTCGTGAGTTTAAAGTCTCCGTCTTCTAACCTCGGTCCAACAAATCTGTCCTTCTGTGAAGTGTCTTCAAACATCAAACAATCAACAGAAATTCAAACCTTTATTGTTGTGTAATATGTTGTTAGTGACATGTAGAGATGATACGTCAGAACCTCAGCCCTAACTGATCATTTCCTGACCTCCCTGTGGTTCCAGAACTAACATCCTCCTCTGAACGGAGGGGCAGGAACCGATCCATGGACACAGAGCTTCTCAGGACAATTATCATTAAAAAAACAAAAAAAAAACAAGGCTCGATTGTACACTAAAACTAAACAACACGTGACCTGGTTACACAGCGCCATTAAATAGCTAAGTGAATTAGCTTAAATGCTCTGTGTTTTCCGCTAATATCCAGAAACAGACGCCAGTGAAAACGGTCCCTGTGTTGAACTTGTCTCTAACTGTTGACGCGGTTCTACCTGTGCCGTACAGTATGTTGTTATAGTGATGCCCTGACAGACACGGAAGCTTCCGGAAGACCTGACTTGACACTAAAGTCTAACTCCATCTCAGACTGCCAGCCAGGAGACGGTACCGAGATGACAGCCCTGGATCCTCATGAAGAACCGGGTCCATGTCAGGACTTTACCAGCCTCCGTGGCTCAGTGGGGTATGTTTTTTTTTTTTTTTTTAGGTTATCATCCCAAATTCCTAAGAAAATTACAAAGTTGTAACTATTTTGTTTGTGTGTTCATTAAAATAAGAGCCAGCTTTGGAGGGCGTGGCCTCCGAGAGCGCAGCCAGAAAAGAGATTTTCTGCTTCCAAAAACAGTGGGTAGAGAACATAAAAAGTTTATATAAACCTAATAAAATACCATAATAGTACAAAGGGATATAAGTGGAGCCACTGGAACTGGGTTTGCGACGGTCTGGAGCTGGTTAGCCTGTTTCTGGGATTAGCTTTGTGGAGGGAGGAATTTGTCGGGAAGTTTGGAAAATAATGTATCCAGCAGAAATATGTTGACAATTATGCTGTGGAATTCTACTGTTGTAGATGATTCATTCAGAAAGTCAATATTTGTACATTTATTTAGTCATAAGGACAACAAAACTGACGGTAAAATAAACAAAAAAAAACAAAAAAACAAGTTATCGAGGCTAGTTTCTGATCGACTTGTTTTCTGAGAAAATTCATGAAAAAAAAACAAAATAAAAAAATGATTACATTTGAGGTACGACTACATCAGGTCAGAGGTCAGTTCTGCTGGTGGAGGGGTGAGGGGGGTGAGGGGAGTGTGAACGTGAACATCAGGACTTGATGGATGTGAAGTGAACCGTCCAATCATGAACTCTTTCCTTCCAGTCTCCGTCGTTGTTAGCCCACTTAAAGCTGTTAGCTAATTATCCTCAAATGCTAAATGTTTCCTAATAACGTCAAACCACGTGAGACTGGTTAAGACGCAGCACATGTTTGGTTTTGTTTTTTAAACGTCTGAACATGAATTTGTCTAAAAACACGTCCCAGACGTACGACTCCAGGTAAGAACATAATGACGGCTGTTGTCCATCACACCGTCCGACACGAGCCGACATCGGTAACATGTGCCGTCGTTACATTCAGTCCGTCGTACATCCTCCCCCCCGTTGCCGTCGTTACATTCAGTCCGTCGTACTTCCAAGCCTTAATGAGGTTCCCAAACGAAAACAAAGCCAAACTTCACAGCCCCTCACCCCCAGAATGTGCTTCTCGTTTGGAGACCCTGCTCCACATGATTTGCTGTGAGGCGCTGAGAGAGGAGAAAAAGACGGAGAGCAGGAGAAAAAAAAACAAAAAAACCAACCATCAACCCAGGGAGGGGAGTGGGGAGCGCTGATTTATTTGAAGAATCTGGTTGTAGTGAGAGCGGTGGATGGTGGGAGTAAAGAGGGGGGAGAGGAGGGAGGAGAGAGAGTGAAAACCCAACGGCAGACAGATCGTTGGACCTGATAATGTCTTAAACCGACGCTGCACTTCAGCAGAATTACCACTGAAGTCCATATATCTTTACTGCAGTGTTGACGTACGGCTGCGATATATGAGGTCCAGCTGGTGCTGCACCAGGGGCCGGGACTGGGGCTGGGACTGGGACTGGGTCTGGGACTGGGACTGGGTCTGGGACTGGGTCTGGGTCTGGGACTGGGACTGGGACTAAGACTAAGACTAAGACTAAGACTAAGACTGGGACTGGGACTGGGTCTGGGACTGGGACTGGGTCTTTGTGGGATTTTATTCCTGAAAGTCTTTCACAGTTTTTTATTTCTCATCTTTAAAGGAAATGTTTAAAGTTCTCGTTAAGACTGATGACCTGATGTTCAAGTTCAGATCCAGTCCCGTCACAAATACAGGAAGTATTTCACAGCCATGTACTGTAGTGGAGTTTAACGTCCAGTCACAGTAAACAACTGCAGTAATAACATCCTCTCCAGCCACGACAGATAAAGACGACGTACTGTTGACGTTGTTGTTGTCGTTGAAACACTACAGTCCAACCCTGGACTATGATGGAGAACAAAGAAACAACAAATAAAGTCAGTAAAAATAGTAAAAACAAAGATATCATGTCATTAAATAGATTAAATATTAAACATACATTTACATTATTGTGAATAAAAAGTTGATAAAAACTGCACAAATATTGTCGTGAATCTCATGAGATACCGTGGCCTTCTCCACCAATCAGATCGTTTGTTTGGACCAGAGTTACTCACACAGATCTGGTGTTTTCTAAAGTTTCTCAGAGAGTACTTGATCCCACAGTTGTGTTCACACTGAAAAAAGGAACCGACAGAACCCTGAGAACCTCTAAAGAGTTTACACGACTGCTTTGTCTCCAAATCACGAAGACGTGACGTGAATCACGTTGAGTTCGCTCCACGTCAACATCTCTTTAAAACGACTTCAGCCACAGCCTGAGCCGTGTTCTCAAATTCCTTATTCTCACGAGAAAATCACACTGGATAAAGTGGATGACCCCCCCCGACCTCTGCCCCCCCCCCACTCACTGAAAGTACCAGCTCTAATTGAATCATCTCTAATTGCCCTTCGTCTCCTTTTACCCCGGGGCAGTTAATGACTTCCATCTTCTCTCAGGCTCAATCTCAAGTTGCCACCAGGAGAGTCAGTGATCTTTGGACCCGGTGGATGTGTCGTTTACAGCAGGAGGACGAAGGAATTGGAACCGATTCAAAGAGACAGAATTCAGGAGAAGGGTTTGGTTAACTAGTACTAACTAGTACTAGTGACTAAAACTACACAGACTGACATATTAACACTAACATTAAACCAATATTAAATGTCAGACTAAACTTTCGTCTATCTTGCTAACTGCAGAAAAACACCACAGCATTGTTGTTGTTTTTTCTCCTGTGGTTCAACAGATGAAACTTTCTGTTTGTTCCTTCTTTTTAAATCTTCAAATCAAGTCAAGTCTCTTTGTTACATTATTTCATTTAAAAAATTACTTTTGAAGGAGGTTGAAGACTTTTGGTCCAAGAAGAAGAAGAAGTTTTTTTTTTCTTGTGGAGCAGCCGTGTGTTTATTAGGCTCTAGTAGTTTTCACAGCAGAACAAAAGTCCCCCCACCCCCCCCCCCCCCCCC